ATGAAAGTAAGTACGGAGAAGAGATTCCAGAGTGAGTGAGCATTGGAGTTCGAGGAATGCACAGCCAAATTGCCATAGAAGGAAATAGAAATAGAGCACCAGGTAGAGAAACCTGGCCAGTGGGACCCTGGGAGGTCAGAGGACATTTTCAGAATGATGTGTGGATAACAAGTGCCAAAGGGGCAGAGTGTGTCCCTCTTCCCCCAGCCCTTCAAGGGTAGGAGGCCTTCCCAGACCACACAACCCACAGCTGCTGTGGGCTCCCCACTGCCGTGCGTGTGCGCATGGTGCGCCTCCCAACCCCTGTGCTTAAGGCCGCTGTTGGGTCCTGATCAGAGCCTGTCCTGTCCTCGGGGACCCCTGTGACCACAGGTGAGCTGCTGCCCCAACTCACTGCTCTCTTAGGCGTTCTCTTTTGCCTTTCAAACAGTGCACAGAGCTGTTCTGCAGGTGCTGTGTGCATCCTGACCTTTGTCCTAGTCCCCGCCTAGGGCCTCATCCCCGCCGCCCAGTCTGTGCTGAGCTGTGTACACACGCACACTTCCTGATTCCATGCTGACCAGACCCTGGCACGAGGTCCAGCAGCCTTAATCCCACCACCTGCTCAGACCTGTTGTTTGTCCTGACCTGGTGCTGATGTTCCGCGCCTCCACCTGCTGTCCCTCCATGCAGCACTTGTGGGAGCTGCCCTGTGGGTGTCCTGAGTCCCATGACTGGATGATCTAAACCCAGATTTCAGAACTCCATCAGGTCTATCGGAGAGCTGGTCCTCTGGGCTGAGTGAAATTCAAAAGAAGGAAGATCACTACGCCTCACACCTAAAGATCGCTGTCATTACAGGGCTGTGTGTTACTTCCTAATCCCTTTTCCCTCTGTGGATTTTTTAAGGAACATAGTTGCACCCCGTTTTGACCTGAGTTTGTCCATTTAACTCCTAAGAAACATACTTTAAACCACCGCATGCTTCCTTAGCAAGTTTCTTTTTATCACAGAATCTGCCACAAGTGCTGACAGTTTTGTGATCTGTCTCTGTAGCTAGAAGCTCTGGTGAACTTAGGAAAAATATTGTTAGTTGTGAAATAGAACGGCCTTTCACATTAGTTCATTAAACACGAACGTCCAGGCTGTGACACGCCCTGACATGCCCTGTGCTGTGCTTCTTCCTAGATGTAGCCCTCTCCTTCCCCTTACTTGGAGTTTCTCTCAATGGCTTGGTGACACAGTTTAATAACCCTGAACAATCAGGTTCCATCTGGGCGTGCTTCTGTTTTTTTGCAAATGGTGTGTAGCAGGTGCTCCCTTGTGCCCACCCCTTCTCCTGGGCGGTTGGCAGTGAGGGTCTGTGGTACTGTGTGAACTCTGCGGCATGGCTGCACTACTCCGGAGTCAGTGCCTCTAAGGTTACCACCACCCGTGTAGACGCTCAGTCTTGTGTACTCCCTGCTGGATAGAAGCACTAGTTTCTGCATGGCTAGACCTTGGAAGGGATTGCCGGCTGCCTGGGTATGTGTTAATGTAGTACCTTCAGTTTTCCGTAATATTGCCAGCACTGCTTCTCAGTGCATTCTGTCACCCTGCATTCCTGCCAGCAGGGAAGGTGCTTCTCTTGTTGGTGGCCTGCTCACCCACACCTGGCATCGTCAGACATGGTGTCTGTCCATCTTATGAGTGAGTAGAGGGTCACATTTGGGTTTTAATTTGCACTTCCCTTTTTACTGATGAAGTTCTCTTGTCCTCCGTCTTCCTCCCTCCTTCCCTCCCTCTCTTGAAAACACCCTTTTATAAAATTCTGTTTTTCCCTATGGCCCTCTTGTGGTGGAGTCTCGGGGCTCCTTGTGTTTCTCGCCTGAGATGCAAAGCCTGTTGGGTGTGTGGGAAGCAAATGTCCTCCTACGGGCTGGCCACTCTGGGACCTTCTTCATGTGTCTTCTCGTGCCCGGCGGTCCTTGACTGTAACGTAGAACGACTTCTTAGTTTTTCACAGTTGGCTGGGGCTTCGTGTGTCCTACCGGGTGAGTTTCCTGGTGAAAGCTTTGGTCCGAGGGAAGGCTGCTGTCACACAGCTGTGAGAAAGTGGAGTATGTGAGACCTGTACTGAGTGTGTCCTGGTGCGCACAAACGGGCTGGGACCGGAGGTCCCTGGGATAAGAGCGCTCCTGCTTCTCCACAGGCCTTTAGGGACATCGAGATCCCTGAGGACGCTTCCCCACACTCTGAAGAGGCAAAGTTGCCTTCTTTTTCAGCTGACCAAAGCATATCCCTTGCCCTCTGTCCCTTTTTCCCTTCCTTGTTCACAGCCCCAACCCTGAGCCCAGGAGGTCCTGTGATGTGTTGTGTAGAACGCAGACTCAGGATTTTGGAATCATGTTTTGCTATAAAAACAAAAGATGGGAGGAACACTTGCTCATCCCAGCAGCAGGTGACTGCATGGAACCCCCTTTCTTCAGATCCACTCCAGATGGCTGGGCAGATGCTGCCTGCACCTGGAAGTCATTGGCTTTGTTCTTGATTTAGGATTGTCTCTGAATCTTCTGTTCCTCGTTCATTAACTGACTTCAGCTGCCATGTCCCTCTTCTCAGAGCTTTGCCTTGTAATTAGTAGCAGTGGTGGAAAGAGCCCCTAGCCAGAGGTGGGCACTGCGGCTTCCCTCCTTGACATCCCAACCCCATAGTCAGTACCCAGCAGCCCTTCTTTTGGGGGATGAGGGCTACTTTGAAAATCTGATAACCGTGGAGGGAGGAGACCCCAAATACCTGTGCTTCTTCCCCCAAAGCCTCTGAACTTCAAACCCTGCTGTACTGGTTGTGCCAGTGTAAAAGCAACCTCCAGGTCATGGCTTTGCAGGGAGGGACCACACTCGTCTCTCCCCCTTCCATGGATCCACTTCAGGAGCGGAGACCTCAAAATAATGTACTTCAGCCAGCGGCCTGCCCTGTGCTTCGGCTGCTGGACTCGAGAACAGTGCCTGTCCAGTGCCGGTGCTCCAGCTCGTGGAGGGCACCTCATACCTTCAACTGCGTGGTCCCCCCCATGGGTCTTGGGCCCTGACGCCATGGCCGCCCCTTCCTGCCTTGACCCTCACAGTTAGCACTCTTGCAAACACCTTCTTCCTGTGGGAGTGCAGCCAGGGCAGGACACCTATGTCCTGGAGCACCGTGCAGTCAGGTGGCTCTGGCGGGCATCAGGTCTAGCTCTGGCCATGGGTGAATCCTGCTTTTAACTTGTTATAATCTTTTGTGTCCTGCTCACTAGAGGATCCTTAATAGTCCCTTTACTGATCTTCCTGCTTTCTTCCGGTGGAAGCTTCCATGCTCCTGTGTGTGGTCTCTCTTCACCACTAAAAGACTGGTTTTCCCTGGAGGACCCCACGTCTTCTCCAGGACAGGCTCTAACTCTGGAGCTTCCTATTGGAGCTCCTCTGGCTGCACCCGACAAGCCTGTCTTGTCCTGTCCTGTGCCCAGCGGCCCTGATGGCCAGCCCTCCCCAGGGCCCAGAGACTCACTGATTGGCCCTGTCCTCTCCTGGGCCTGAGGCAGGGTCCCGTGCACAGCATGCTTCTCCAGCATGGAGGCCTTGCTCTCTTCCTGTCCTTATGACCTGTCTGCCCTTCATGCCCAGCCCAGATGCTGGCCCCATACAGCACCTGTCCACCTTGCCAGCCAGAAACGGCCACTCCCTCCCAGAATTCCTTCCTAAGGCCCCTATTTTCCCAAGGGGAGGAAGGGGGGCTGGAGTTTTGTCGCCCCTCAACTATGGATTTGTATAGTTCTTTCCACCAAAGTCAGTTATCAGGAAACACTTCCTATCACCCTGGATTTCTCAGTAGATGTTTATTCTGAAAAGTTGGGTCATTGACCTCACCTTTACTAGATCCTGTCAAATCATTTCCCCGCATGCTGGTTTGTACTCTGCAGTCAAGCGAGGAAAGAGTTCTGGTGCTTTAAGTCCTCTGACGTCTTCTTCATTTAGTCCTCTGACGTCTTCTTCATTTTTATCGTCTTAGGTGTAAAATATTTACTCCTGGTTTGAATATGCATCTTCATGTTGAACGTCCTATCTTTCGTGTGTATACCAGGCTTTCCATGTTTCCTCTTCTGCGCTGTCTTCACTTCTGGTCCTGTTCATTTCTAGGCATCCTGTATATTCCGGATGTCCTTTGTAGGCCAGTAGGAGAGGATGTGCCTTCTGTTTTGTTCCACCACACCTAGGGGGCTGCATTCTTCTGTGTCTCCACTGTGGCTTCCACTTGCCCCCACCAGGAAAGGGGAGAGACGAATGTGGTCCCTCCCTGCAAAGCCATGACCTGGAGGTTGCTTCTGCCGATTCTTCTTGTGTCCCGTGGAGTGGAACTTGGGGTGGCGTGGGAGGCTGGGAAATGGAGCTTGTGTTCCACACAAGTGTTTACCCAGCTCACAATGGCACGAGAATGGATTGTGAGACCATTGATGGGTTGAAAGACTTGGAGCAGTTAGCCCTGGAAAATATGGTAGTCTTCCAGTTAATTGTCCTTTAGTAAGCCATTTTCTGATAAAGGCGCATATCTTCCATATCGTTAAAACTCCACTCAAAGAGTTCATAATAATAGTAATAATAATGTTGCGGTTTGTCAAACCTATTTTCACTTTTATTCAAAAATGCATTTATGATTATCAAAGAAAATCAAAGAAGGAATAATCAGAAATGCAATGACTCAGTTAGAAATTGAAATGAAATTTGTAATGCATTTATTTAGTTAATTGGCCAGAAAGAAACTTCAGGTTCATTATTTTTGCAAAATGTGGAAGACAGAATCTCAGTCACTTGGTACTGAAATAAGCCTCTTGTATTTTTTTTTCTTTATCCAGTTCACATTCATTTTAAGCTAAAGTGTACAAGTGAGATGATACAGTTTTAGACTCATAGAAGTGGTAGTATGGTGGGTTTAAGATACTGTGGGTTTCTCTCCCACGCCCTTTTGTCTTCATACCCTAGCTCATGCATGCAACCTCTACTTCCCAGGTATGGTGTCAGCCCCGAGAACATAATCCTCTATGGTCAGAGCATCGGGACCGTCCCCACTGTGGACTTGGCCTCGCGGTACGAGTGTGCAGCTGTAATTCTCCACTCCCCTCTGATGTCTGGTTTGCGCGTAGCCTTTCCAGATACCAGGAAAACCTACTGCTTTGATGCTTTCCCCAGGTAAGCTCATTTTTTTGCTGGGCGGGTGTAGAGTTGGCCAGAGGCTCAGCTCACCTCTGATGCTGCCGTAACTGTGTCCCACACCGAAACCTGACTCTGGCCCTGTGCTGGGCACCAGAGGCACATGGGGCGAATGTGATTTGTGTACTGAAGAGAGACTTGGGCCTCACTTGTGCAAATCTTCAGATGGTGTATGAAGACCTTGACTATGCTGATACTGGGATTAATTGATTTAGCTGTACTATGTAGCATTAAAAAGCACCCATATACCCATCCATCCATCCATCCATCCAGAGGGATCTATATTACAGAATCACAAAGAGCTACCTGCAAATTGATGATGAAGCATTTAGCAGTGGTTTAGACACTGAAGTAGAAATGACAAGCAAGCAGAGGTTTCAGGCTTCTCTCTTTTGATCAGACAGCACAGGGAAGTGAAAGGTGGTGTGCTCAATCTTCGTAAACAATAAAACGGGAAGAAGCTCCCCAAAGGCCAGCATTTGATTTGGGGACAGTACAGTGAAGTGAGCCAGCCCCCCCACCCATTCCCCTGCTTCCCTCTGGTGGCAGGAGCCCCTGCAGAGGCCCCACGTCCACCAAGGGAGGGGTAGGACTCCTCCACACAGCCTCTCACCCAGCCCAGGGAAGGAGGTGGAGCAACTGCTGACCTCACCCTGCAGTTTTCTAGTTCCACTAATAGAAAAAAAGCAAGAGCACTTTGGTTTCTTGAATACCTCTGTTTGGAAATTTATTCTTGCTTTTTCATTTGTATCCCAAAGCATGGGAAATATTTTAATAAAATTTGTCCCCTAAACTTCCCGCATGTGGTGCTGAGGCAGCCTGAACTATTCAGTCTCCCCTGGCCAGCTCAGCTACCCCGACCCATTACAGAGACAGCCCCAGCAGGTTTAGGATTTTCCTTGCTGTCATTCTGCTGTTGCTGGGGAATACTCATCCCTGGGCTGTGCAGACACCTGTTCCCGCAGACCGTCTGGCTGCACAGGGAGAAACCTTCTGTTAGCACCTTGGGGCTTTGGCTGCGCGAGAGTTGTCCCAGGACTCATGAAGCTCAGCTTTCTGGGAAAGCGGCTCTGCAGATGCTGGCAGTGTGGCTGGGAATACCAAGTAGAGCTGACTTGTGGCTCAACTACGGCCTTATTTGTTCTGAATTGGTAATGAGAGGCCAGTTTGTTGAAAGACAGATATTTCGCATTGCTGTGGGAAGCAGTTCTGGGTGTTACCCTGGCAACAAAATGAGTAGGTTTCTTCCTAGCTCTTAAATTAGCCTATACCTTAAAATGCAACCATGATAACTGGTTGCAACTTATTAATTAATAACAAATCAGTAATTTAGGCTGAGTTTGATTTTTTTCAGGCTTCTTGCTATGTGTGTCATACTAATTTTCCCCCTTAATGTTCATAATAACCTCAAGAGTTGATCTAGTTATTGTACTCATTTTACAGATTAAGATACTGAGCCTTGGAAAGGTTAATAACGTGCTTAAAATTGGTGATTGTAGATGACAGAAGCCACTCCTCATGATTAATACCATAAATTATTGATACAGTGATTTCAAGCCATTAACAGTTGCATCAACTTTCATCATTAATTGAATTTGATGGAAATTGAATCATGTTCTTCCAATGTCCATTGCTGCCAAATAGCAGAATCATCTCTCTGGGCTTCTCAAAGGAAGACGCTTTCACATTGTCTTTCAGTATTAGAAAAATAAAGGCGTCCTGATCATCATTTCATTTGTAGTTTACTTTCTTTCACCTTCACATTTAGGGTCAGACCATGGCAGTCCGTCTCAAATGCGCTCTCCAGACGGTGGATCCCCCTGCAGAGTCTCGGGCCTGTGCACACCACTGAGCAAATACCTATTTAATTGAGAGCAGTTGACCTCTTTCAGAGGAAATCACTGTAAAACTGACTGTAGGAGCAAGTAGATTTCAAGTAAGAGTCCTAGTCTGCAGAACTGACTACTATGCCCGAGGTGCTGCCCTTTGCCAGTCACGTGGCCCAGCAGTTTTGCCATCTTTCTGGGCGGCGCTGAGGGGTGTCGGCAGCCTTGGGAGTTGTTAGCAGGCTGTGTGGTAGTTGTTTGTAATCTGCGGAATTGTTGCCAGAGTTCTTCATTATCTCCATGGCCGCCTGCCTGTTATTTAAGAATCTCTCTGAGCTTCAGTGCCCTCCCCCATAAAACAGGGATGGTCTTTCCTCACTGGTGCGTTCGAGGCCTGAGCAAGAGTTTCTGCTTGCAAAGCTGTTGGCTGGGGGAAATGTTTACTGTTAACAAGAAGCCTCCTTGTAAAGTACCCACTCTGATTCTTCTGTAATAGTGATGAGTAGATATGGAAAGAGAAATCAAAGATAAGATGCCCCGTGGCAGGGGACAAGTTGGAGAGAGATTTGTTTCTCATCTCGTCAGAGAGGCCACCCCAACACCCCTGCCCGGCAGGTGGCTCCCGGTGTTGCGTTCTCCTGTGCTGCATGCTTTAGGAGCCCAAAGCATTTGAAGATCCTTAACATTCAGCCTTTGAGAACAGATTTGATTTGTATAAACAGTCAGAAGTCATTTGGAGTCAAATCTGTCTCATTAAGTTTTCAGGCTAAGTGACACATACCCTTTCTACCAGGAAATGAGACCTTTTTATGAAATGGGGTTTGCATCATGTTAATAAGTTTTCTTTTCTATTTTTTTGTTAATAAGTTTTCTTTAACAAATAGTTCTGAAAATTTGAGTAGCAGGGGATTAAGTGTCCAACTCTCCAAAGAGTTATTCATTCAGTTATATTAAATGCTGGCCTGTTTATTTTTTTAAAAAATCAGCTCCCAAAAAATGAACATATAAAGAATATTAAGTTATTGGTTTCTTAGTCTGGTGCTTTTAGGAGTTCTGTTTTTAATAAAATGACTTTAACAAAAACACAACAGCTAAAAGCAGATTGGCTCCTGGAACAAAAAAAGGACATTAGTGGAAAAACTAGCGAAATCCAAATAAAGTCTGGAGTTTTTAGTTAATAGTAATGTACCAAACTCAATTTCTTAGTTTTAACAAATGTACGTGGCAAAGTACTATGTTAACTTTATAGGAAATGGGTTAGGAGTGTAAAGAAAACCTGAATTGATTTTGTATCTGTTTTGGAAATCCAAAATGAAAAGTTTATGTGATGAAAATGTGAGACACTGGAAAAATGGGGGCGGGGGCATCACAGTGTATCACTGTGTGTCACCAGCAGTACTAGATGGGCAACTCCAATGTGGGACATTGACGGGAAGTGTGTGTGTGTGTGTGTGCGCTCACGTGTGTCCACACGGGAAATCCCTGTACCCTCCTTTCAGTTTTGTTGTGAACCTAAAACTATTCTAAAAACAGTCTATTTCAAAACCCCACCTTGTTCACTTCCTTGCCTGTAGACATGGATCCTCCATTCCCAGCAGCCTCTCCTACCTGAGCTTAACTAACGGAGCCCTTCCCCTTCCCCTTCTGTCTTGCAGCATCGACAAGATCTCCAAGGTCACCTCTCCTGTACTGGTCATTCATGGTACAGAGGATGAGGTCATCGACTTCTCCCATGGGCTGGCGATGTATGAGCGGTGTCCCCGCGCGGTGGAGCCCCTCTGGGTGGAAGGGGCTGGGCACAATGACATAGAGCTTTATGCACAGTACCTGGAAAGACTGAAACAGTTCATATCTCACGAGCTTCCTAACTCCTGAAGAACACAGCTCAACCTTACCTCATCTACTGTGAACAGACGGGTCCTCTGTTTTGCACATGCTTTAACGGATAGCCCGATAGCCACGAAGAGGTGCCCAGCCCTTTGGGTGTTCTCCTCGAAGAGCTCATGCAATCTCAGTCTTTTGTATCTAGAAGTTGTTCTACTAACTCCCACCACACACGTACTCCCAGCTTCCTCGCCTGGCTGGATCGGGAACGCGAGCCGACCTGGGGACCGTCTTCTAGTGCTGTATAAAGTGTGCTCTGCCTGTGTCGCCCTCGCCCACCACCTCCGATTCATCACCACGGGGCTCAACCCTCCCCCACCACTCTTCGCAGTATTCCACGTGCAGCTCGCTCTCCGCCACTGGGTTTGGGGTCAACCATTTGTGAAGCTGTGCTAGTGTAACTGGAAAACTCTCGTGGTGAAAATCCCTTTATTAATTCTTGTTAACATATCGATCTTTCCCCAGATGAATGAGCTAAAGGGTAATTTACTGAAACGATCACAAACAGCTTCATGCACTGTAACCCTATAAATATAACTGGAATATTCTTAAATGAAAGGAACCTGGGGTTTTTTAAGTGTAAATTTATTACTAGCCAACAGAGTTTTAATATTTTGATTGTCTGGTTGGTCTAACAAAGAGCCTGGCCAACTCTCTCCTCCTATAAAGCCCTCCTTGTAGGCTTTTTTAAAGTACTGTACATATTTGCAATTACATTGTGCATAGATTCTTATTGGGTAGTTTTCTTTTGTGGGGCTACAACAATGAACTGCAAATTCCTTGTTTGTAATATAAATGATTGAATACATTTTGTTAATATGTTTTTATTCCTATGTTTTGCTATTAAAAAAATTTTATAACATTTCCAAGACAAAAATTCCAAGTTTATGCTTTGAAGAATTTATGTAATTAAAAATTTCACTAAACTACTCTTTTTAGTTTAGGAGTTTTTCGGGTGTTGACACTGGAGTGGCACCAGATAAGCATCGGAAATGTAAGATGCTTACAATTGCTACATGACTTGTATCGGTCGGGGGTTTGGGTCTGGGGGTCCTCTGGTTTTAATTCTTTTTCAAATTTAAAAGCCTTAAATGTCCTGTGAGCCTCTGATCATTGTACACCTGGATTGCGGTTGGTTGCCGGTTTGTGTCCTGTTGCGTGGCTGCGGCACAGTGGTTGGTAATGGAATAAAGGATGCATGGATCAGAAGGTGTGGGCTGGCGTAGTTTTTCTTTATCACAGAAATGGGTACATAAGAAAGCGGCGTTTTGTGTGGATTTAAGAGGAGGTCCCTGGGGTCTGCTGAGGTGGCCTCTTTCTCAAGGTGTGCGAAGACCCGTGCTGTTCTGTGTGGGATTGTGGGTTACTTTGGGAGGAATCAAGACACCCAACATGGGCAGGAGGGGCAGCAGTGTGTGTGTGTGGTGTGCACAGTGGTACCAGCCCTGGGCCGTCTCTGGAGCTTGGGACAGCCCAGCCAGGAGGGACAGGCGCCTGTTTCTTTGGAGGCTTGAGTCTAGTGTGTTCCAGGGCTGAAAGGAGTGAGTGGTGCTGGCTTTCCACTTTCAGAGCCCTGGCCTGAGCACGCAGGAAGAGGCCTGGGCGGGAGAGCATGGGCAGGCAGCCTGGTCCTGAGTCAGCGTCTGTGATAGGAGCCGCAGAGGGTGCGGTGGCTCCTGAGGGCTCTTCGTGACACGCAAAGGTCATGCCCATCTCATGAGACCAGGAGCCCCAGCCCGAAAGAAGAAAGACCAGACATCAGTCTCCCTAGGGGGCTGGTGAGCAGCTGCCTGAGGATCCCAACCCCTGATTTCTCATCCTACCTGTGGACTGTTTGCATCTCTATCACCATTTTCCCTCCGGTTTCCTCCCAAACAGCTTTCCTTTTGTCAGCCAAATTTCAACAGAAAACGATGCCCTTGATAACAGGAGCCAAGGTGGCGATGGTCACCTGCACTTTGAAGCAGCCGCTCCTGAGGAGGTGGGGGCAGTGCTGCTCAGTGATGCGTGTGGGACTTGAGGCCAGTCCTTGCTTTTCACCAAGTGGGGAAGCTTCTCCTTAACTGTTTTTTCCTCTCTCGTCAAGAAGGGAAAATCTAGTTGCTCACTACAGTCCTGTCAGAGCATAGAAAAGGTACATGAAGCATATCTAATATATATTCATGCTTAGGAGAATCTTTTCTAAACAGAGTGTAGAGCCGCATCAGGGGCAATGTATTGTGACCCCGTGCTTGTTTGTGCTGCTGATTACTGCTGCATGATCCCAGAAGGTAAGTCATACAGATTTGGAGTGGTCATGTGGCCACAGAAAATCTCAAATCTTATTTAAAAGCATTGCTCTGCTGTATCCTTTGAAAACTGGGAGATAGGATGATTGTTACTGTCTCAAAATAGAAAAAGTGCCTTCTTTAAAAGAAAACACTGCTTAAGGATGATTTTGCATCATGGTACCCTTTGGGGACTGGAAAGGACAGATGGTCCTTTGGGGAGTGTTTCCTGGACTCCTGGTTTTCGGAGGAGGACTGCAGAGGTCATGGAGTGTAAGTCTGAAGACCACAGGGCAGAGTGTATTTTCTTCATTGAGGGTCTGTCGAGTCCAAGCTGAAACTCAAGGGTCTCCTTCTCTCTCAGTGCTCTCCTTCTCCTGGTGACCTCCCAGCCTGAAAAGTACAGACACAAATATACTGCCAGCCTGTGCAGATGAGGTCTTAGAAGACGGGGGTTGAACCATACCTGATTTTTATGTCCAAGCTGAGTGGTTTTGACCTTGCTCCCTAATTTCTCCAAGCCGCTGACAGGTTGCCCCTTATTTGCCCCCTGAAGGCATATAGCATTAAATGAGGAAATAGCCGTGTCATTCTCTGAAAAGCACCATAAATCAAATTACTAATGGTAGGGTGATTTGATCAAGGTGGAATTCTCCAAAGAGAGTAGACCAGTTAGGTTTGAAGAACTGGGGGAAAAAAGTAAAATTATCTTCAGAAAAAGTATACAAAGGGCGGGAGATGTAACTTGGTGGCAAAGCATTTGTCATGTGAGTCCTTGGGTTCAATCCCCAGTACTAGGTCCAACAGTTACCAGGATAAATTCTCTAAAACTACTTAGAAACAGTTAATTCCATAGTCTAAACCATTCCAGTGGTACACGTGTGCACACATTCAGGCACGGAGACTAAAGTACTGAATAAAATACTGGGGAATCTGGTTCTCCACTACAAGCCAAAACAACTCGGTCAAACTGGATTTGTTCTGATTACACAAACACAACAGGAAACATTAACTTAATACACATTAAGAAATCAAATAATCTCACTGATGTAAGAAAAAACAGGAATGACCTTTGAATACACTTCTGACCTGAATTGAAATCTTTTAATAAAGGAGGTAGGGAAGGTGGTTGCTTAATTCAATAAAATCAACCAAAACCTTAGACCAACAGTAAGCACAAACAGGTTGAGACACTAGAGTTGTTTTCTCTATTGTCAAGGATTAGTGGTACCACCAGCATAAACTATATAATGCCACGAGTTCTAGTTCTAGCCATGTGAAAAGCCAAAGAGAAAGGAAGGAAGGGAGGAAGGGAAGGAGAGAAAGACAGTTCAACAAACTTAAGCAATTGAACAGTGGTTTAGAATGCATAGAGGAATGAATAAAATGACAAAATGAATGTACAAAAGTCAATTACCACCCAATTTATTAGTAATAACTAGTTAGAAAATTGCATGGGCCCCCAAGGCCATCCACAATAGGAGCATACAAAACACAGTAATGGACAGGATCCCATGACTTCTGCTTTCTGCTCAGTGGTAGACGTGGGATGTGGACCAACCTTCCCAGTAAAAACAACACTACTGAACAAAATGGAAAAATCTTAAACAGATGCATAACCTGGCAGGAACCTAGGAGCAGTGCAGGCCAAGTACAAAGTGCAGATGAGAGCTGGCAGGAAGAGGAGGCCGAGAGCAGTTTCCTCTCTGAAGGACTCTGCAGGACCAGGCTAACCTGAGCTCTGGTTTTCCTGTCTGATGGAGTTTCAGGGGACAGTAAACAAGGCGCAGGCCATTCTCCAAGGCAGTCTAATTGAAAACTGCCCTCTTCTGGGAGCAAGAAGAGTGATTTTCATAGAGACAAAGAAGCATTGGGTGGGCTCCAGGGTTCCATTCAAGATTTAAAAACAAAACTTATCAAACTAAGAGTGGAAGGAAGTATACCAATTACAGGTCGTCTCAAAGTAATATTATAAGCATTATATGGAGAGCTGAAACAGGAGAGGCATTATTCTACATTAGCCTGGGAATTAGCAATAACATCCACTACTCTCACTCTTCAAAATTACACAAGAGTCTAATAATGCCTAGCACGCACAGGGCCCTGGATTCAATCCCAAGCACCCCCCCCCCAAAATATATATGACATGGAAAAGAACGCATGATGAGCATGTACCAAAACCAAATTAATGCAATGGTTTCACAACTTGGTGACTATAAAAAATTATTCGAATGTACACTTAAAATGGGCAGACTACATGATACATAGATTATATACCCTAGTAAAAATTGCAAAGGTATAGGAAATAAATACAGCTGCTATTCTGTGATTATGATTGTTTATGTAGAAAACTCAAGAGCACCTATAAATTAGTAAACTCAATAAAACTTTAGCTAGGTTGCTAGATACAAAATCAATACACAAAGTCAACCTTAGTTCTGTAAACCAGTTAGAATATTCAAATAGCCATTTTAAAAAGTATCATTTACAACAGCACTTACAAACAAAAAGTTTTTGTCCCAGAATGTGTCTGATGTGTGATATGTTTGATTAACCTTAGATATTTCATGCTATGTTTTCCTTATCCTGCCCAGAGCTTGCTCTGCAGGACCTGTGTCCCATCTCTGTCCCTGTCTGCAGGGCCCCTAACCCTGCTGGGCCTCAGAATCCACAAGTGTAGAGGAAGGGGTCCGCTCCGTCTGCACTGTCTTTGTGTGTAATATAATATCCCTGCAATATAACGTACAGGTTAAAACTTACCTTTCTAGGTTCACAGTTCAGGGATATTCAGCACTTTCTCAGTGTTGGCAGTGACTACCACCCATCACCAGGACTTTCTCATCAGCCCAAACTGAAGCCCTAAGTCCCACACACATCATCCCCCAGTGTCCCCTCACCGTAGCCCGTGGCAATCACCATTCTCCCCTCTGTCTGTGAATTTGACTTCCCAAGGAACCTCGGGCTAAGTGAAGTCACACAGTATCTGTTCTTTTCTGACTGATTCCACTTAGCATGTTTCCATAATGTGTAGCATATGACAGGATTTCATTCTTTCTTAAGGCTGAGTAATTTTCCATTGTATAGAGAAATCATATTTTCTTTGTCCATTCACCTTATCATGTACATTTGGGTTGTTTCCACATTTTACCTACTTATTTTGAATAATGGTGCCATGAACGTGAGTATACAGGCATCAGTTTTGAGTCTCTGTTTTTTATTCTTTTATGTATATACCTAGAGTGGAATTTTGGAGTTCCACAGTAATTCTATACTTAATTTTTTGAGAAATCTGTTTTGGGGAGGGGACTGAGGATTGAACCCAGTGCTTCATGCATATTAGGCAAGTGCTCTGCCCCTATGCTATCTCCCCAAACCTGATCTGCAGTTCTAAGTAAGAGTCTTAGGATCTAGGGCTGCTTTTAAATTATGCACCATACTTTGGATGTCTGTACCTATGGGCATTTTCTGGGATAAAGGTCCACCCTTTCGGCAGGTGGTGCCAGTAATTGCGGAAGATTAACAACACAGAAGTATGTGGTATTTACAGATTCTTCTTATTTTTATTTTTTTTTATTTATTTATTTTTATTTTAAAGAATAAAAGAAGGATAACATAATAATAGGGGGGACTTAGCAAATTACAGACAAAATGGTAGGAAATTATCAATGGTTATC